GTGCAAACTGTGTGGCTGTGTAGGCACTCTCTTCCATAAGGGGTTCGACTGCCCGTGCTCTGCTGGCCTCAGGCGCACGGACATGCCTAATTCGCTTGGTGTCGCAGCCAGCAGAGTGAGCAAGCTGGGTGCTGACGAGGCCGAGCTTTTCTCGCGTTGCCTCTTCCCCTCCCCCGAGAATTGTTTTGGCCGACCTGGGGCTCCTGAGGAGCACTGGGTCAGGTTTGTGGGCGCCCATCCTGGGTGGCTCTGGGGGGGGCCCATCTTCGTGGACGGATCGGCCTTCAGCACTAAGCACGGTTCTTGTAGACGCGCGGGCTGGGCGGCCGTGCAGGCGGACCAAGCCGGCAATTTTGTTGCTTGCATGTATGGGGTGGTTCCGAGGGTTTGGGGGCCCGAGCAGTGGGCGCGGGGCGGGGAGGATTACGCGTTTCACATGTTGGCTCGGTTTTCGGAGCCTCCGTCCGAAGGTAATTCAGGCGTGCCGCTTGAAGTGTTCAGTGATTGTGCTGGCTCCGTGGGTTGCGCCATTAATTCGTCCAAAGCTTTGGGCCCCAGGAATGAGCGGCGCCACCTTTGGAAACTCTGGTGGGACAAGGTTGGTTTTTCTGCCACGGTCGCGAAGGTCAAAGCCCATCGGAGCGCCCAGGATGCCACGTCTTTTGAAGACTTGTGGAAGCTGCGGGGCAATCGCCTCGCGGATGAGTGGGCCAAGAAAGGGGCTCAGCTTTGGGATGTGGCCCCGGAGCAAGAACTTGTTGTGGAGGCCTGCGAGCGCAGGGCCGAGGACGCGGCCGTGTGGATGGGGAGGGTCCATGAGTGGCTCCACCAGTCTGGCCACGAGGACTCCGACGGCGTCGGCGGCGCGGCCGATGTCGTCCTGGATCTAGAACTGGAAGTTTCGAGCCTCAGCCCTGACGAGGCCAGCGAGCGGGAAAGGCATTGCGAGCAGCGGTCGCAGCTCCAGTCTCGCATAGCCCTCCCGCCCGAGCTTTTTCCCGGCTCGGCCACCAGCGCGGCGCCCGCGGCGGCGACCAGGGCTGCCGCCGGGAGTGGCTGCAGCGCGCTGCGCCCGTGGCTTTTTCAAGGTCATGAGATCGTTCAGGCTGCGGTGCACGGCTCCGTCGGTGAGCCTCCTGTTCTGTTTTGCACGGGTTGTGGCGGCAGCGTGCAGAAAAAATTCAGGCCTGATTCTGGGCTGGCCACCATTTGCAAGGGTAATCGGCATCCAGGGCTGGCCACGCAGAGGAGCAGGCTCCGGCGAGGCCTGCATCCTACTAATTCAACTCAGTCGCCGCCCCCCCGGCTCGAGTCGGTCGTCACCCCGTCGTTGGAAGTCCGAGCGCAGTGGGCGGCGAAGCTGAGAGTTTCTTCTGGTTCGGGGCCAGAGCCTGTTGGGACCACCTATGGGCTGGTACCCCCAGAGCCTCTCGATATGCATCGGGTCGCTGCCTTGCACGGCTTCTCTGATCCGCGGGAAGCGGTAGATTGGTGTCTCTCGGAGCGCGCGAGGGAGGCTCGGGAGCTGCAGGCCCGGGGGGACTCGGGCTCCCCGTAACTTTTTAGGACTCGCCGTGCGGTAACAGGCAGTACCGAACTCAATAATATGTTGATTGAGTTTCGCTGGATGCGATGGAGCTCGCTCCATGCTTTGAAACAGCTTGAATCAGCCTCCTCCTTCTCCTCCTCATCCTCCTCCTCCCTCCTGCTTATCCTGCCCCCGCTCCTCCTCCGAGGAGGAGAGCCGCGGGGGGCTGGGGCCCAGGGATGGAGGAGGGCGGAGGCTCGGATGGGGGAGGAGGAAGGGGTGGAAGAAAGGGAGATAGGAGGAGAAGGAGGAAGATGAGGATGAGGACGAGGATGAGGATGAGGAGGAGGAGGAGGAGGAGAAGGAGAAGGAGGAGGTGAGCTGATCGCGACTTTCACCCAATGCACTTTTGAGACATGAGGTCGGCCCACTGCTCCATCTCCTCGTCGGTCTCAAACTTCCAAGCCTTGCGCTGCGGCTTGGAACCCGACACCGCCTTCTGCGCAGCCATCTGCATGCAGGCGGACCTCGTCGTCTCGGGCGAGAAGGCGAGGTTGTTCGAGACCGCTTCAAGTGCGCCCAGCAACTTGGGCGGGGGGGGGCGTCGCTCGTCGGTCGTCGCACCCGAGGGAGGGGGGGGGAGGACGGACGAGGGATGGGGGAGGAGGAGGGGGGGAGAGGAGGAGGAGGAGCGGAAGGAGGAGGAGGAGGAGGAGGAGAAGAAGGAGAAGGAATGAGGAATGAGGAGGAGAAGGAGGAGGAGGGATGCGAGGAGCGAGGAGGGCCAGAAGGAGAAGTCGGAGGAGGATCGAGGAGGGTCAGGAGGATAAGGAGGAGGTGGCGGGGAGGAGAAGGCTTTGACGCCGCCGTGCCTTTCGACGCCGTCCTCATCCTATCCGTCATCATCTACCCTCCTCCTTCTCCTCATTCTCCTTCTCCTCCTTCTCCTCCTCCCTCCGCCTCCTCCTTCCCCTCCATCTTCCTCCTCCTCCCCCTTCTCCTTCTCGCCCTTCTTCCCCTCCCGCCCCCATCGACGACGTCGTTTGCCCCGTGTGTGACCTTCGCGTTGGCCTTGATGCGGCCGAGGGCGATCGCGTCGAGGCAATCGTTGCCTGGGTTGCTGCCGTACTCAAACGAGTCTTTCGACGTGATGTGCAGCATGAGCGCATCGCGGCACTCGCCGACTGCTTGGCAGCAGTTTCGAGACATGTACTCGAAAGAAAAAATCCCGAGCGGGCCCATCGGCTCGCCTCGAGCTCGGCCAAAACGGCTGCGATGAATGAAGGCAGGCCGGGGGAGTGGCGAACCTAAGAGGGGGAGGGGGGGGGGGGAGGAGAAGGGGGGGGAGAAGGAGGAGGAGAGAAGGAGAAGGAGGTGAGAGGGGGAGGATGAAGGGTGGGGGGAGGGAGGGATCTTGCGTTTCGTCTGGTGTTCATCTGCCGACTGTGTTTGCTGATACTAGCCTCCTCGAGGAGCTGGCGGGGGGGGGGAGGGGGGGGGAGGGTGGGGGGGGGGGGGAGGGTGGCGAGGAGGAGGGGAGTGAGGAGGTGTGAGGGAAGGAGGAGGGGGAGGAGCCGAGTGTGAGGCCGAGGACCCCCTTCCCCGCCCGCTCGCCCTCCCTGCCATCGAGGCCCAGTTGAAGCCCGAAAAGCTGATCGAGCCGCGGCTGGATTCACATCGAATTCGTGGGAGGGCGGGGGGTGGGGTGGGGGAGAGCGGATCTTACGTTCGACTGATCGTACTACTCTGCACCGCTGCTGCTAGTGTCCTCCTCCCCCCCCCTCCCCCACTCCCCCCCCCCCCCTCCCCCCCCCCCCCCCCCCCCCCACCCCCACCCCCCCAACCCCCCCCCCCTCCTCCCCTTTGTTTTTTTTTTCTCTTTTTCCTCCTCCCCCTCCTTCTCCTTCTCCTCCTCCTCCTCCTCTTTCTCCTCCTCTTTCGCTTCCTATCCTCATCCATTCCCTCCTCCTCATCCTTTTCTCCCTCCGCCCTGGCCCTCTTGCGACCCTGCGAATCTCCCTCCTCGCCCTTCTGCTCCCCCCTCCCCCCTCGCCCAGGCGGTCCGCCTGAGAGGCGCGCGGGCTGCGCCATTGGCGCTGGGCGCCCCTCGCGCGCGGCGCTCGCAGGCTAGCCAAACGCTGCCAGCGCCGCGCCAGGAGGGAGGGAGGTGGAGGAGGAGGAAGGGGGAGGGGGGAGGGGGGGGGGGCGGGAGGGGAGGGGAGGGGGAGGGGAGGAGGAGGAGGAGGAGGAGGAGGAGGAGGAGGAGGAGGAGGAGGAGGGGGTAGGTGAGTTGGGGAGGAGAGTCGGGGAGGGAGGAGGCGGAGAAGGAGGAGAAAGGAGGAGAGAGAAAGAGAGAGAGAGAGAGAGAGAGCGACAGAGAGCGAGAGAGAGCAAGAGAGAGCGAGAGAGCGAAAGAGAGAGAGTGAGAGAGAAGAGAGAGAGAGAGAGATATAGAGAGAGAAAGAGAGAGAGAGAGAGAGAGAGAGAGAGAGAGAGAGAGAGAGAGAGAGAGAGAGAGAGAGAAAAGGACAATAAGAAAATGAGGACTGTGTGTTTTCTTTGCCTCGCCCTCACGGCGCAAGAGCTCTGGCGCCAGAAATATCGAGGCGACGCCAGCCAGGGCGGCGATATTCAAGTTCAAGTTCGACGAGGAGGATCGGCAAGGCAAAAAAAAAAAAATCCCTCATTCGTCGGAGGGTGATCGCGCTAAAGCCGCGAACCCTCGTTGTAATGTAAGTTTGCTGTCCCCCTCCTCCGTTCTTTTCCTCCTCCTCCT